GCGGCACGCGAGGCAGCGCCCCGCGGGTCAGCCGGGGCCGCCGCTGAGCTCGGTGTGCCCGCTGCCCACCCTCTGCCCCCTCGCCCCACGCCGCCCCGTGAAGAGCTCCGAGAAGCCCCTGCCTGCACGGCCAAACCTGCGCTTTTCAGCCTTACGTGGTGAAAAAAACCATGTGAGATCATGGTGCCTCGACAGGAGCGCAGGCTCCACAAAGGGGTTATTAGCACCAGGCTGCGTGGGTTTGAATTTCTCCGCGTTTCCCATACTTTTCCCCCATTGATAACATTTCTTGTTGGGACAATAGAAGTGTGCCTTGCAACTACTCACGACATTAGTGACGGTGCTTGAGCCTGAATGATTTAAAGGGAAAGAATCCAACTCCCAAAAGACCATCTGGCTATCAGTTATAATACAGCAATAAAGGTCAGGGCTGCTTCTCAGGAGCTGGGGAAGGGAGGTTTTCTGACACCGACGAGTCTCTTCAGGTAGTTTGGTACATGTCTACCTGTCTGCTCCTAGCTTCAAGGCCTGCCACCATTGCTCCCTTGCTAGGAGAGGGCTAACACAGGACTTCGGGAGGAAGGCCAGCCAAAGAGTACAGGAGAAAGGGCAACACCTTCTTTTAGCTGGCAAAAGCTAGGGCACGGTCTCTGAGCTGTATCTTACTTTGTATCATAATCCTTTGACCGGTTCAAAGTGTTCATGAGATGTCTCGTCTCCTGGCTTTCCCACAACACAGGGAATAAAGGGCTCCGAGGACAACATCTGCCCTGAACAAAGAGCTGAGCCCATTCAGACCCCTACAATGAAATCCACAGAGCTGGCGATTCCAGTGACACATCCCTCCTTCCTGTCAACTCCCCATTAAACTCAGGCTTCACTTCAGGATTTCCAAGTAAGAAATTGTCTGTGGCTTTCTCACCTCACTGCACGCTTCCCTCCAGCGTTTCCCCTTCCAGATCCTCACAAGCAGCACACAGGGAGCAGATGAGCATGCCCCTGCCCCGGGCGCTGCCGGCTCGATGCTCAGACGGCACGATGCAGCGCAGCTCTCCTCAGGTAGGTCCTGGGTTATTTTTGGTGCTGCCTCAAGGACTGCATCCAGGCAGAGATTTTTCCTGTAAGACAAAATCAGAACTGACCTAAACTGTCCACACAGCTTCATTCTTTTTCTTGCCTTTACCACAAAGGAAATAATGTTTGCTTAATTTTAACTGAAATTGTCATGCAAATACAAGCAAGCAGCACTATCCCCCTTCTCCAGCTAAGGAAATGGAGTGGGGATGACATGCTGAAGGTTACACAGGGAGGCAACCAGGTGGTCTCTGAGATCCCACGTTCTGCAAACTGCGGCAGGTCCGTTCTGCAGCGGGGCAGTGCGATGCTCCTTGGTCAGACGAGACCGGAGCACACCAGAAATCTCTGCAAGAAGCAGAACTGACCTCCTTGGTGAGGTCTGAAGATGGGCCTCTGCTGCTAAATCCCATTCACAACATGCCTCTGACTTCCCAAGGCTAGGGCTGCTGGGTCGAATCTGGTGCTATTCTTCACAGAATCACAGAATGCTTGGGGTTGGCAGGGCCCTCTGTGGGTCACCCAGCCCAACCCCCTGCCCAAGCAGGGTCACCCAGAGCAGGCTGCACAGCACCACGTCCAGGTGGGTCTTGAATACCTCCAGAGAAGGAGAATCCACAGCCCCTCTGGGCAGCCTGTTCCAGGGCTCTGTCAGCCCACCTTAACCACCATTCTTGTAAATGCCCATATGAAAGAAAGAGTTGAGAAGGGACAAGAGCGAGCTGCGGGGTGACTAGGCATGGGCCCAGTTCTGCTAGGAGGTGGGTGGTTGTCCTTAATAAAGGCAATGGGAACACTGGTGCAACAGGCTCACAGACCTCAGCGTGTAAAGAGAGAAACAGAGTCACCATTTCCATTTGCTTCCCACTCCCTCTTTCTTCACCCTGTCAGTCCAACATCCCACCAGCCCGACTGCAGATTCTCCACAGCATTTAGAAGCACTGTGCAAACCAACCTGTCGCTTCACACCAGTGACACTTTGGCTCACCCATTAACAGTGTGATGACTGGATCGACCAGTACAAATGCACCCACACGCTGGCAGATGGCACCTGGGAGGCCGTCTGTAACGTGCCCTCTCTAGAACGGGTCGAGAGATGCCCTGGTGCTGTTGATCTTGACCCTAACAGTGCTCCCCCTCTCCTCCTTCTCCCTCCTTCCCCCCGCAGCGTGCCTCCTCCACGCCACCAACACGACGGGCACACGCAGGGCCCCGGGAAGGCAGCGCGTCCCAGACAAGCAGCTGGAGGGTCAGCGTTTTCCCAGATCCCTGGGCAGCCCCAAAGAGCCACGCCGCACGCTCCACCAGTCAGCCTGGGCAGAAGGTTATTCTCTCCGGGGCATTTGCACTCAGTGTACCATGCGCTAACAGAGGCTTCCTCTATTGTTCAGCTGGGGGCCTGGATTGGCTGCGTGGCTGTGGGAAACACCAGCCATCCCCAGACTCACGTCTCTGCTGAAGCTCCCCGACGTATAAATAGAGGCAGTCGGTAAGCACGGAAGCGCAGCCTTTACGCTCGGCACAGCAGCCCACCGTGGGGGTCTCTGCCCAGCGCTGAGAGCACGAAGAATGGCTCCCAGTACCACCCTCATGATCCACATGGAGGAGAAACTGCTGCCAAAAGAAAAGAATAAAGTAAGTAGAGCGCTTGACAGGATTGGAAAGGCTGGTCTGCGCCCTGTGCAATGCGCTGCCGCTCTCAAATAAATACTACATGGGACAAGACAAGGAGGGAGAAAGTGCTCTGGGGGAGGGCAAAGAGGTTAAAGAGATACAGGAGACTGTATAGGCTCATAAAAATTCAGTTGAGCAGGGAACATGTAGGCAGCATGACCAAGCTCTTCTACCAAAAGAAAGCATCTTTGAACACGTGTATATCAGGGCATCAGCAGGGGAAAGTAGGTCAGGTCTCAGAAAATCCTTAACAATCTGCTCCACCTCTCTTACAGCTGAGGAAGCCGGTGGTGGAGAAAATGCGCCGCGACCGGATTAACAGCAGCATCGAGCAGCTGAAACTGCTCCTGGAGAAGGAGTTCCAGAGGCACCAGCCCAACTCCAAGCTGGAGAAAGCCGACATCCTGGAAGTGGCTGTCAGCTACCTGAAGCAGCAGAGCCAGCTGCAGGGCCAAGGTGAGTGCAGAGCAGCTATTGCACACCATGTGAAGGCTGCTCCCACGGGCTCTTATTGCCACCATGCCATGTTTTGGCCATGACCTTAACCCACTGCATTTGCTTCTTCCTTTCTTTTCTAGCGTTCATTCACAAGAGCCTAGAGCAGGACTTTAACAGTGGATACCTGCGGTGCCTCAAGGAAGCTATGCATTTTCTGTCTTACTACGAACCCAAGAAGGAAACCCAGGTGCAGCTACTCAAGCATTTCTGCAAGGCTCAGCTGGGTGCAGATGTCCTGTACTCGCTGGCTCTGCGTAGTCCACCTCTGTCACCCTGTCTGTTAGCCAGGAAGCAACCTGCCCAGAAGACCACAGCTGCTGCTCCTACCATCTGGAGACCCTGGTAGACCTGTTCGACTTCGCTTTATTCCTATGTTTTGCTACAAAAACTAGAGGGACCTGTGATTTAATAGTTCCTCTTTAAAGTAGGAAACATTGCTTTCCAAAGGTGGGAGGGGGGCAGTTATTGTTTTTCTGTCACAAGAAATGAGGGTCACTGAGTTGTTTCCCTTCATAGTGAAGGAATGTGTTTGTGTCTTGCAGCAAATTTGCTGCTTTTATCGGTGGCTCCCAGCCAAAGAGAGGACCAAGTTCCGCAGTGATTTAGAGAGCCAAACGCCCTTCGGTCTCCATCGCCCTTTTGCGTGGCAAGGCTGCTGAGCCTGTGGCTGGCAGTGGAAATCTTTCTACTAACTCCTTGGGTCACTGGTTCAAGTGCTCCATTGTCTCCAGACAATGTATTGACCTTCCTAAAGAAGGAGCACTTTGAAGAATGTATTTTGTATCATAAAGAGACTATTGAGCCTTTACCTTTTGAGTGAAAGTTGCTATTAAGTAATGCTGATTCTTCTGAAGTTCCCATGCTATTTTTAGTATACCTTCTTACAGAAAGCTGTGATGAGAACAGATAGCTCTAGGGAAAACTCTCTTCATGTCAGTATGTGCTGCTCTCAGTTGAGGGAGAATCGATGCCTTTTGTAAAGGAAACGCCTGTGATATACCTTGAGGAAAAGGGGTACTTTATAATCATTCACTGAACATGCTCAAGAGCTTAAAAAGCTTTTATAAAGTTGCGATGTATTCATCCTGTGTGATGTTCAACTTTGGTGTCTTCACTGTTCAATACAATAAAAATGGTTTTAGTCACTAATCCTTTGGTTTGAAATCACTAACATGGCTAATACTCCTGAACGAAGCGCAGGATGTAGACTCCTCCTGCAGTGGGGAAGCTAGGAGGAGATGCAGTGTTTCTGAGCCCTTCATTCCAGTACAGGGTTTGTATTTGTGAAGTTCATTTGGCAGAACAGGATTTCAGATCCTGCAAAGAAGCAACCTCTGGAACAGTCATCAAAAATTAAAATGGAGGTGAAATTGAAGTGAGATACTGAGAGGCGTAGACCCAGATACTTAACAGCAACTTCTCCAGGCTTCAGCAAAGCACTTATTTCACAGCCAGTTTATTTCCACCCATTGCCCATTACTTTACCCACCAACCTGGCTTCAGTCTTGTACTTTCTGTCCATTTAGGAGGTAGCAACATGCAAAACTCCGAATAACTTCCAAAGAGTTTGGCACCTGACTCTGCTTGGGGATCTCATCCTCCTCTTTCAAACCACCTGCAATGGGGTGAACTAGTTTTTGTTGTCTCTTAATTTTCGCACCTTCTATTACCTAAACACAAATTCTGTTAGGCAACAGGATTGCTTTCTTTACTGAAGGGAAATCTGCCCATATATGGCTAAAAGTATACATAATTTGATAGCAAACAGAGACTGAAAAAGCATTTCCTCTCTGAAATTATTTCCCCATACTCTTTTCTTCAAACAGTTTATTCTCTTTCTCCGACATCCACCTAAGGGCCCAAAACATACCATGAATAGGGCCTGCGCCTCAGAGTTGAGAAAGTGCCACTCTCCACCAGGCCTTCAAGATGTTTTCTATCCAGCCTGTTGTAGAGATGGTTTCTCTGCCAAGAATCTTTTAGCTGAGCCTCCCTTGATTTTTTCACCCCGTCTCAATTCAGAAAACCAGTCTAGCATATCCTTTTACACAGCGGCTCACAACAGCCTGCCTGGCTGGCACCAGCTGGGTGACCCAAGGGAAGCAGCCAGAGAGGCACTGCAGCATCCCTGCGCGGTCTCCGCTCGAGCCCTGCAAGCCCCTTCTGCGATCCCCTGCGCGTGGGCCGTGATTCCTGTCTCCCAAGGATGAATTCAGCCACGCTCTGGTGATGCGAGGAAGAGGAGCATGTGCTCTAAGGGATGTGCTTGCCCTGCTCCCACACAGCTACACAAAGAGGGAAGGGCTGAGGTGAACAAGCAAAAAGGGATTCAGAATGTGTTTGGGGAAGCAGGAAGAAAAGCACGAGAAGTGGATCCTAAAGCCACCTCGAGCGCCTTAGATACCAAGTCTCTCCAAAACACAGCACTTTCCCCAGTAACAGTCACTCACTTTTGCTCAGAAGAGTTCCCATTCATTGCTCAGTGGGGACTATTAACCTCTTATTTTCCCTTCTCTTCAATGTAAAACAAATCCGCACAAGCAATCAGTTCACAAAACTGTTATCTAACCACGGCAACACATTGATTTGGGTACGTGACAGGGAACCCTCTCATTCTTCCAGAGATCCAGTAACAGCATGAAACACCACTGATCAACAATTTCAGCTCTCCTCAGATCCCCTGGGAGAGATGCCATGAAAAACTTTGTTTCTAACATATGCTTTTTTTCCTTAAATGAAAGGAAACCTAGAAGATCTGATCTTGTCAAATGGCTGCTTAGTTAAGCACTAAGCAGGCTCAGATCTGATAAACCGACAAGATCAAACTGCATTTAAACACTGCTAGCTGCACCTGGCCAGTCCTCACATGATTTGTAATTAAACCCTTTGTTATACGTATGGAAAGGACCAAAAAGCCAGCTAGCCAGGTCACGAACGTAGTGCTCTACCTCATCACGGCTGTGTGAATCATTTTGGTTCTTACTTTACCCTGAACGCACAAGATGGTTGAGTGCTCTTCATCCATCTGCCAGTGCAATACAAGGTGGGGTTTTGGTAGTCCTGCAGTTCACTAGGAGCTGATACCAATGCTGCAGATAGAGCTGAGCTTCTTAACGAACGACTAAATAATTCAGAAGAGATATTTTTAGAATTTGTGGTTGCTTAGTGATCTTGAAAAGTCACTCCACCTTGCTGTGCTCAACTTGCCTTTGTCAATTAGTAGAAGCTTCTGAATCCCAGCAAAACTCCAGCTGTTCATCCACGCCTGGGCATTCTGAAATCTAGCCTAGCTTGCGGATAGGAAGTCTGAGGGAGTTCAGACTCAGTCACAATGCAACGTGCCCCACAGCACAGCACAACCTGACTGTGCACCACAGGGACGGGGAATGGAGTCACACGGGGCAGGGAGAGGTCTGCTGCTGTTATGTGGCATCTGCAGCTCATGTGGCACCACCCCAGTACACCACATGTGAAGGTCACAGTTGGCAGCATCACTGCAGTGCGTTTAAAACTGACAGCATAAGCAGAAAAGAGAAAAGGAACCCAAATAAGAGCTGCACAAACTGGAAACTGCTGGATTTGAACCCGGTCCCTCCAGTTCTAGGGTAACACAACAACAGGCCATAGAAGTGACGACTGTGCAAAACCCCAGTGAGCTCCCAGTCAGGCTTCTCAGCCCAGAATTCCTGCCACCCATATTGGCACAAGCCTGGAGAGACACAGCCACCGTCCCTCAGACCACAGGGTCTGACTCGCATTTACACGGAGGCCGTATTGCATTGCTCCGGCTATAGCGGGGGAGCCGATCGTGCTCAGCTGTTGGCGTACGTGAGATTCAGACCTACCGCTTGCAGAGTGGTATTAAGGGAAGGAAACAGCAAGCGCTTTCTTTCTGGGCAGGGGGGAGAAACCAAACCCCACCAGGAAGCCTCCATTTGCTCCAGGGAGTCAAGATCCATGGCTGGTGCAAGTGCACTGCTTCTGTTTTTCGCCAGCCAAAGACGTGCCCCTGTGGGCTTTAATTTACCAATTAATTGAGAGCTAAAAGCCAGACCTCCAGTTTCACCAGTCTTCGCACAGCAAAGGTTATGTTTACAATTTATTAATTATTATCACTCGTAATAATTGAACGCAAAGTTGCTTCTTGCTCCTCCATCCCCTGGGGTGACCCTCCCCTGCTCCAGCACATTCCCGCCCTTAGGGAAGATGTTGTTTATTATGCTGATCCCACAGCCCAGGAATACTCTCCTGACAAAGCCCCTATTAACCTCAGAGTGTGGGCCTGAGTTTCTCAGAGTTTCCCACACTTTCTTCCCTATTTATGACATTCAAAGGGACCACAAAGGAAGCGTGCCTCACAACAGCCCACATTAGTGACGCTTTTTGGCTCTGCATTGTGATGACCAGCAATTCCTGTCCCGATAGACCATCTGGAGAGCTATTTTCCCAAGGAGCACATTGATCGATCAGTATTATGCCAGAGCCCTTTTAAAACTTGGGAACGTTATGCTCTTTGACACTAAATAGGTGTCTCGAGAGGGGTTGTCAGAAAGATTTTAAACCATTTAAGGAAGGCACAGAAAAAATAAAAATCGTAATTATTTCTTTAAAAACGCCATCAATAGCATTTGTGAGACAGTCTGACATGAATGTAGAAAATGCTCTAAAATAAAAATGCTCTAAAAGTGAGACAGAAAGGAAAGCTTTAAGCCATCAAGTTGTTTGCTGTAAGTACAGCCCCAGATGTACAGGAGCACTTCTTTTTAGATCTGCATAACATAGACAATGAAATTCTGGTTTTCTGTACTCTGATCTAATAGCCCGCTTTCCTCCCGACCTGTTGCTGCACTGCAATACACCGGGTTCCTCTCCACGGAAAGCTACGGATCAGAGGGGCTAAGAAAGCTGCCAATTGGTATTACAAGTAGTAGCAGCTTTGGTGAAAACAGCACATGTAGTAAGTCTGCACCTGGGCTGAAATTGCCACCTGCGTACCGGAAAGCTCCGTAGCCCAGTACCAGTTTCCCAGACTCACGGTCCTCCAGCTGTTTTGATTGATGGGCTATGGTGAACACAAGCCTACCGATGATAGTCCTGGGGCTGGCGAGTTACCTCTCCCGGCTCCTCTACGGCTGCTCCTCGGCTCAAAGCAATCTGGGGCACACAGACTGCACACCATAGCTCAGGGTCAAAGGGTGAGCATCTACAGTCGGAGACAACGTGGTGGTTCCTGCCTTAGGAAAAGCCAGGACTCCTACCCGAGACGCGAGGTCTGTAAGTACAGATACTGACAATCGTTTGCAGATTCTGTTTCCCCTTAAGCTTTTCATATCTGTACCAAGACAG